TGTTATTCAGCGCCACCAGTTTCAGTAGGTTCCTGTAATAGAAAAACCCCTTTACATGGGCAATTTATATAAATGACCTAAATAAACACCCCCACACTCCAAGTTGCAGCCTTGGTAGAGGGCGTATTTTGGGGTCGCACGACCTCGAAATAAAATACTTGCTACAGCCCTGTTTATGCAGATTTATAGGAGTGCCAGATAAGCATGTGTAGGGTTGAGTACCTTGTCTCGAGTAGGAAAGGTGTCATGTTCCATTTGGCTTTCAGACTGGCCACCACGCCTTTGGGTGCTGATATGACATGATGCATGTTTAGCAGCAACAGTGACAGCACAATGATGTTCCTCATTATCTCCGGCGCGACGTATCATCAACCTAAAGGAGCATTAGCCAGAAAGTCACGAGGACAGTACAGCTCCTCTAACTCTTTACAGATGCCACGTAGTTAGTTACTCAAAGTTATTATCTCAACCACAACACTAGTAGTCATAAAAACTCAATAAATCCTGAGTAAGCTTTAGCACAAGACACCAGAAAAATGACCCTAACGGTTCATAATGTAAAATCATGACCATTGAGCATTAAGGCTGAAGAACAGGCTGAAGTTAGCTATAGCATAAAGGTGAAAAACCTAGCAGTCATTGAAAACTATACACTAGTATGATTTCACCAACAAATATCGATTGCTACAAATAAATAACTGTAATTTGAAGTGCAGAACTTTTGGTTAGTGTGCTTCCATTAATCTATCCCTCACCCCGTTAGTGATGCTGTTCGCTTCCATAAAAGCAAAGGGCTTCGATTAGCGGTAGGTATTTTGGGCAGCACGTACAGCTAGCGAGTTGCCGGGGTTGCTGCGGCGTATTGGGATGGCTCGCGCTGATTGTTATGCGTAACTGAACCACCTACATAGCAAACAATAAGGCATGGTGATATTTGTTTTGTGGAATATCTCTTCACGTTGTTTCCATTAATACAATGAGTAACATGAGTGGAAAATTTAATATAACTCGGTGGTAAAGTTGGAATTTAATCCGGCACAGCGGCAGACAGCTAAGGAGACAGAAGCTGAAGCTCAAACACTTTCCCACCAAACACTGGCGCATGTTTTATTGACAAACTTTCACAGGCAGCCTCTTTCAGCCGTTTAATGATAATAAGGATACTTTGTACAAAAACAAAACTCTGTTTTGCCTCTCACGGTTAGACAATGGAATTTTCTTGGTTGGTTAGTTGGTAAACAAACGTGGTGTGTTTGCCATAGTCAGAATTCTTTCAAACGTTTAGTGTGTAGTAAAAAAACAGTGTTGGAAAAAGCAGGATTGTTTACTTAATTAAAGTAGACATACCACGGGGTAAAAAATACTCTCTTATAGCCCAAGTAAAGTTCCTGCAATGAAAAGGTTACTTAAATAAAAGTACAAAATTATTATAATCAAAAACAAAAGTACTCATTATGCGGACTTGCACATTTCACAGTTACTGTATTGTATATCGCAGCATAAGGATCAATATAATAACTGTATTGTATATCATAGCATAAGGATCAATACCATCTCACAGCCTACACACACACAGGTATAGACTATACCATGGTACTGATCCTTATGATATGATACACAGTACATTTAACGTGAAATGAAATACGCAAGTCTGTATAATTAGTGTACATTTATTTTGATGATTATACGTTTGCACTTGATTGGCTACAGCCAGTGATTAGCAACTCTTTCAAATTCAGGCAGCAGATACTAGACATTAAATTGGGCTACTAGTAACAGTGGCACAGTGGTGGTAGGCTATCTCTTTAATCGTCAAAGGTCACAATCCGATGAATGCGCGTCAAAAAAAGTTACAGCGGATGTGATATTTAAATATGCTAAAATATACATGTCGCATCAGTCCAGCGTCCGTGTGGGAACGGTGTTAAACAAGATTATGGGATGGACGGGATGGGATGTAAAGCTGAGCCCCAGCCCAACCACGACGAGACTATATTTGTCGGTTGGGATGCAGCAGCAGCAGCAGCAGCAGCAGCAGCATCCTCTCAAAAGCACTGTTTCAGCACAGCCAGTCAGACCGCCTCAGTCCGCAGGATGCTATAGGATGCTGCCGGAGGATCCAGCCCAACAATACCGCCGTGCGATCTTTCTGAAAGAAAGTCTGACACACGAAATGAATCCCTCTGCGATTTAAATTGGGATTAGCACGAAATAAATACATAAAGAACAAAACTAAAAACTCTCCTCGATTGCCTCTGTTTCAACTTGATTCCGGAGCATGGGAGTCGTCGGCACGGATGCGGCTGTACACCGGCTTCAGAAGCTGGACAACCAAAACATTTAGTGTCATGACTCTTGACTTCGGACAAGGTTTCCAGCGCAGTGCAGTCGGCGTACGATATTTTAGAAACCAAAAGGTGGGCTTGCCATTTCGTCCAGATTACCTGTCTTTGGAGGATGTTATTTGATCAACATGTGGCACTTAAATTATCACCTTTAGTCTATCTGAGGCATGGAGGATCATTAATCCCTGAGGAGCCCATGGGTGCATGTTATTATTCACAGTAATGGAATGAAGCCACTATTTTGATATAATGGATGATAGATCCAGTAAGCTCATCTTGGTTCCTATTTTAGCTGTCCTTTTTGTTACGATAGGTTACCAGTACATATGTCCCGCTGGCAGCAATTCATGCCACTTTAAGACTGAGGACAAATTAAGTGGGATTAGCCTACTTTCCGCCCCGTACCAGGACAGCGATGATTTTTACAGAGATCAAGACCTTGAGGACGACAGCCCTCCAAAACTACCGTCAAAATTCAACTTCACCGAAAGAGACCTTGACAGACACGTGGAGTTCAACATGAAGGGGGACGACGTGATAGTTTTCCTGCACATCCAGAAGACCGGGGGAACCACTTTCGGTAGGCACTTGGTGAGGAATATTCGCTTGGAGCAGCCGTGTGAGTGCAAGCCTGGACAGAAAAAATGCACATGTCACCGACCCGGGAAAGAAGAGTCCTGGCTTTTCTCCCGGTTCTCTACTGGCTGGAGCTGCGGACTGCATGCAGACTGGACCGAGCTAACGAACTGTGTACCTGTCATTATGGATAAGAAGGAGGCCCAGAGGAATAAAAGGTAAATGCCAGAGTTCGTACGTGCGCGTGTGTGTTGTGTGTGGAAAAACAGATGTATAGAAACATGCTCTGTGGTCCTCATCTTGTACCGTCAGGGTCACACAGACATGGATGGCAGATGCTTAGTGGCCTCAGTACCACTGGGCCCCTTGATGTAATCAAAATGCAGTTTGCATAGTTTGAGCAGTAAAGTGAGAGTGATGGAGTGGGCACAGGATAGGATGGGTACTCGCCGTCTCTCCTGTTGGAGGGATTATAGGTAAGTCAGAAACAATACAGCTACAGCGTTCTGCCTCCAGTGCTTCACAGATTAGACATTTCCAGCATTTCCTGGAAGCCTCCACAAACAAACCAAATGGCACTTATTGTAAAAAGGTAAATAATTGCAACCAACCACTCAGCAATCAGCTGCTTCATATTTGTGGTAGGTGTGTGAGAGAGAGAGCTGAGATAATTCTAAAACAACATTTGACCTTCTATGCTTGACCCCTGTATAAATTGCCTGTGTTTGTCCTTTTGTGTTCGCATCTGCCCTTTCACAATCGCATCAGCTCCTGCCGAGCTGTGCCGGTGCTGCCATTAACCGATTGTACTGAACCATTTACACAACTCTACCTTCGCAGCAGAAATGACGTTGTTTGTGAATGTGCAGTCCAAATGTTTTAGCACCCTGTAATGATTTCATTGTTACCGGATCAAAGCTCAAATTGCACCTATTGAAATTTAACAAAGAATTATATGAACTTATGTATACTATGAATTCAGCTAATGTGGCTCAGATCACCAGTGGCAGGAAAGTGTTTATGTCAACTGGACACAAGTAGGGGTCTGATCAACCCCTGCTGGGACACCTGGGGGAGGGAATATGATGCTGAAAGACCTGAAACTCCCAGTGATCCCAGGAACATCACAGATGATGTGTCCAGTTTGTTAGTGACTTCAGCAGCTGTATGTGTTTCATAAGGATAAAGTCACGGGTTGGTGTTTTTGTTGCTGAATTTGCGTCCTTGTGAATGAGGGTATCCATCTTTGTCGATAAAGATGTCAAAGTTGTGCTGTATCATACTCAAATGCAACCCGTACATCGGTACGTACAACTCTCTCTCGCGTTTTGTGTCCCTTTCTCTTTTTGTCCTGCAAAACCAGTTCACTATAGTTGTATCTCACAAAGTTTTTACATTTGATGCCATGTTATCTCAGGAGTTCAAATGACTCCAAGACGTTTGTTTGTTTGGTAGATGACGTTGAGAGGAAAAGCAAAGCACACCCAGTTTATCTGAAATGCATTATCTCTCCAGTGTTTTCAGTTGTACTTGCAGTGCACCCTTAGAAGCAATATACATTTGCATAATGCAACTGAAACGTATTAGTTACTGAAGGGAGTGCATTGTACTGCATGAGCAATATGTGTAGTGTTTTCACTCAGCACACATGCATCTATTTTTCAGCGCAGTTTCTGTAGTCCCTGTTTTTTTAGTTGCATTACAGTTTGGGCTGTTCATTTAACCATTGTTTTATAAGTCTATTAGTCAGTTATATGTCCTCAAAGATACTTGCACAAGTACACGTCACTGACAAAACATCTTGTCACACAAGTAGGATTTCTGAAATGCAGAGAGTTTCCTCCTATGACTTGAAGAAAACTATCATACACTGAAACACGTGAGCACATGATTTATTTCTGCTGTGCCAAGTGTTTCCTTTACTCAGGGATGTGCTCACTGGCTATGACAGCTCTTCATTTCACAGCTGCAGCATCTATTCTGCTCTTACAGTCCTCTCACCCCTTGTTCTTTAGTGGGCTCCCGCAACATCTATTCTGAGATTATTCTGCCTCGACCAAGACTGTTGGCAGACGCATTATGTTAGACCCCCTCACTAACCATGCACTGCACATAGCACATTTACAAAGTGAGATGACTAATGGCATTATGCAGATTTCATGTTTATAATCATTTTGTTTATGAGCAATGCCTTAATTAAAATATCTTTAATGGTACAAGATCCAAGTTTAAAAAAGGGCTCTAGCAAGGAAAAGTATGTAATTTGTAATAAAGGCACAATAATCCGCTTGTTACAAAAATCTTTATTCCACCCAAGGTTGTAATAGGGAATTCTAATCTGCTAGATTCAGATTGCATGCCATTATTTTGTGGCTGAGAGCCTGTCAGATTGAGCTGCTGTCTTTCTGCAGTCCCAGGCATTCACCTTGCCAGCTCATGAGATGACAGTGAGAGGGGCTGAGGTGGGCTGCAGCGGTACTACCTGCATGCCGCTATATGGTCTTTTCAGCCGGAGCAGGGTGCGCTGCCCCGTGAGCCGGTCGTGTGGCCCAGGAGAGGTCAAGCATGTCGGACTGGATCAGTGTGCGTGTCCTGTAGTGCGGCTCCTCTGGGAGCATGCTGTCAGTCAGGGGAGAAGTGGTGGAGGCAGGCTGGCTCTCTTCAGGTTATTTTTGGAGAAAATATGCCTCTAAGTGCTGTCCTTTTAAGTTGCTTTGTGGAGAGGGTCATGGTACTGCCATTGTCTGTCGAATGAATGTGTCTTGTTGAGCAGGCTGTTTTCCTCTCAGGTGATTTCAGAGGCCTGTACTGAAGAAAGCTGCTAGAATTATTTCTGATTGTTATATGTTCATTATCTCACTGCTTGTCTGGATTAACTCAGGTAGATATATTCAATATGATACTGGGTCACAAAACAACGATCTCATTTTCAAAATGTGCTTTGAACCATAAGCCAAAGTTTGAGTAAATCATGTCTTCAGAAGTACTTCGCATGTGGTAAAAGGTTGTAGGTTAGTATCAAAAAATATAAGATGTTGCTTTTCACTGAATTAAGAATGAGCTAATGTAGTTTCTCATGTTAATACTTTACCATCACGCTCTGTTCTTGTGTAGTCAGATAAGATAACCTTCATTGTCACTGCACACAGAAGTACAGCAAAATTTGCTGTGCAGCATCTGTTTATTCAAAACATACAGAACAAGCAAAACCACAAGGTTAAAAAAAGGTACTATAAATAGATTTTAAAAATACTGTAACTGGTAGATACTCTATTATGATTACACGTGTTATTTTCACAGTACACCATTACTGCACAATTCCACTTCCTCAGTTCATGCAGGGGAGAAAGGGGTTGGTTGTCACATTCATTAAAACTCGCTCTCTAGAGGGTGTTGTTAAAATTATTGCCATAGAAATTTTCAAAATTGGAGTCGTCAGAGATCACCTGCTATGACATTTCAGAAATAAGACACCTAACATTGAGGTGAGTGGACTTGTAGTGTTTTTCATGTCAAAATGTAAATATCCATCATTTTGGTATTTCTCTTCTGGTTTTTAAGACAGTGGGTTTATAATACAATAATTATTACAGTTAAACATTATGAAGGGAGTGCTATAGTTCACTTGGGTTTTTTCTTAGTTACTCTGCAAGATGTACCTGTTAGCTTTGATGAAAACTTCCAGTTGGGGATGCTTGTCCCATTCTCTCCTGGGTTGGCTGTCAACTGTGACTCTGGGTGTCGTAGCGACTGACAAGATTCCTATTGTTCTTTCTGTTGTTATATAAAAATAAAAATGCACTTATAGAAAAGATTTTTTTCCCTGTTTATGTTCTTGTGTGATGTGTTAGGTTGTTGCATGTGAATGAAATGACACTTTTTAAATTCATTTTTAAGATTGTGTCCATTTTTTATCTTTCCCCATTAAAATTACAGAAGGACAAGCAAAGCCACGGTGTATGATGGCCAACCCCACAATGGGAATGGTTGTCACAAGTGCACAAGATGTACGTATTTGACAGACCACATCTTTTGAACAGAATAATTTTAAAGAAAGCAAAGTCTCTCCATTCTTACCTGACAGTTAAGGCTTCCATTACACATTGAATGGGACTCTATTAGGGATAGTTTTTGAGGGATTCATCTGAAAGTAAAGAGTATGACAACCAACCCTGTTCCTCCCTACATAATAGTTATCGATGTTAATGTCTGTGTGTGTGTGTGTGTGTGTGTGTGTGTGTGTATGGGAATGGAGTTCAGTTCAGTGATAGCTCTCAGTTAGAAGCTGTTTTTAAACCTGGTAGTTCGTGACTTTAAAGCCCTGTAGCGCCTTGTTGATGGCAGGAGAGAACAGAGGTGATGAAATGGGGGAGTGGTATCCCTTAGAATGATATTTGCGTCTGTCATCTGTCACTGAGATTAAAAACCAACTGCTCTGCTTTATTTTTAGGGCTGCATGTCTAAGGTGAAGACATTTGATTATGAAACATACAGCCTGAACTCCCTAATGAAGCCTTGCAGTGTACGAGTGTTATGAATGTCCAGTTACCCATCAAAAAATCAAAAATGTATTATCTTAGTTTAATAATCACAGAATTGTGTATGTACTTGTTAATCTTAAATGAAAATAGTGATGATGCTGATGTGATGTTGGTTTATAGTTAAAACCTGAAGTGCAGGAAGACAAACAAATGGCCACTGATTCTACCCGAGAACCTCATTTTTCCACATTCCTCTTCATGGCTTTAATTATTCACAGCTACAATGTGTTCTGTTGGCAAATCACAGCCTACTTTCCATAGGCAGTTTACATGCATTGAAACAGTCAGGTGAAAATTGGATATTTTCTTGCTATGCCGTACACGGTCATCCTTTCTGTTGCATAATGTGTTTCGATAAAAGATGTGCTGCCTAAATCAAGATTTTTTTTTTTCAGCTTACCACATTTCTACATGTGGTATTTTAGTCACATTTAATGGTCAGTTGTTGAATTATTGTTGAACTGGTTTACTCGTTCATATTTCTCTTCACCTTTTTGCTGCAGCAAAGCAATGTATCACTGTGATGGAGCTTTTATGATGCAGAGCTTTGAGTCCGAGCACTCTACAGCCACCAGCCCGCTACTTATGAATCTGTATTCATTACAGATAATCATATTCATTTTTATTGTACTGTATCAATGTCTGGTTATTTCCTCCACCATGATGCTTATGTTTTT